CGCGCACACGCACACACGCACACGCGCACACACCCTTATGTCGCTGTTGAAGTGAGAGTAACCACTGCTTGGTCAGGTTACATGTATAAACATTAGAGTTTGAAGTCAATAGTAAAAGTTAGGAAAAGGCTGTATATGAGAAAGATTATGGACCAAATCGGCACCAGTTTAGTTCAGTTCAGTTCAGATTTGTTTATCTGAGCTGAAAGACATTCATACAATTGATTCAAATGTTTGTTTAAGTGCTGTATAGAGCTCAAAAGGAGAAGGCAGGAGTAAAAATACTTAAAAACACCTGCCCCTTCATTGCACCGAAACATTTAATACAGCACTGACTCCAACTGGTGAACTTTCACACTGGTGAAAGACAAATTGATAACATTTTTGAAACCTTTTTTTACTTTGGTAAAGAAAAGGCAGTGATGGGACCGACGAGGCTTTTTGTCATGAATTTTCAAAGCGCTTCTGTAAAGAGATTTCAGAGATTTTAATGATGTTTTACGCAACGGGGACCAACTTCACACGCAATATAAAAGTCACACGCAATATAACACTCATAAAGCAATATTTATACATCTACTGGAGAGAGATTGGGATTACAGCTCGTCTGGTTAAAGGGGGAAAACTTAACTAAACTGTAAATAAGACATTGCTCCACTCTTTACATCCAAATTTATCAGATGACAGAAACTCTTTTAATTGAGTTTCCAAGTCTGTACTCTGATTACTCTCATTATCCGCATTTGGTGGAGCCCGTCTGAATCACAAATAGCTCAGAATGGGAAAAAAGTTCCACACAAAATGGCATGTGTTGTCCGCCTGTATTTACTTTAACAAAAACACATAGCAAACATTTAATGCACACATTTTCTATCAACGTAGAAAAAACATTTGGCAAAGTTTGTGTTGATTTTCCGTAAGAGGGAAAAAATGGTCCCAAAGCCTAAAGGACGTCTAACAATGTTCAATTTCAGAGGATTTGTTGTAGTCCACCAGGGTGAGTTTGGAGCTCTTAGACAAAAGTGGCAGCGTGGAGGGAGCTAAACACATCTCCAGGTCTGTTTTTTATGAGTTAACAATAATGTGCCATGGTGAAAACTGAAAGAAATATTATGAGCCTTTTAAAAACCTCACATTCCCCAGAGTTGAGTGTTTCTGTGAGTGCGGCCAAAGCAGGCAGGATTTATGTGAGGATGAGGCAACACACGCGCCTCTGTTTGTCCTGATGCGAGGGACACAACCACAGACCCTCCCCCGAGTCTGAGAGACCGAGGACACTGCTGCTGCTGCTGCTGCTGCTGCTGCATTCTATTTTTACTTTTAGAACAGATGACAGAATAAAACGGTTCAAACACAGGAAATATGATAAATAAAAAAACAAATTTTTCCATAAGAGGCAGATGACCAATGTTTATGAATGTTAATAAATCTCCTTAAAGGTACACTGTGAGATCATATATTGTAATTTTCGGTACTACGGTGGCTTCGCAGGACAATATGTGGTCTTTGACAGTGGTCGTCCCGCACAAACTCCTTTTTGTCCCTTATCAACCACTGTATTTCAAGATGGTGCATTGATACAGAGAGTCCTCCAGCCTCATGGACATTTATAAGTCACGTTCAAAGCCTATGACGGCAATTCAAAAACGTTGGGATGACAGGACATTTAAATAACACAATGAACGTTGCAACTACACACACTATAGATGCATGTTGAGGTTCCCAGCTGCTGTTTCGTTTGTGGGCCTACATTTTGCTTAAATAATTTCCTGCTGGTTCATAGTAAAATAGATATGGGCTGAATTCTGCCTCGTAAGACCATCAGTGTCCAAACTCTTCGATAAATCTGCCAGATCTTCAAAGGAGACGAGTAAAGCCATATTACGATCTGACACACTGTAAAAGCCCAGAGGAGAAAGAAGAGAGAGTTTATTCAGCCCATGTGCGTCTCACAAAAGGCTTTCAGTCAGATACATGTGAGGAATGTCTCTTACGCAGGTGCCTCTTATGAAAGCACCAGGCGCAGGTTTACCTCCTGAACTGGCAACCGCTCTCAGGTCGCCGCAGCTATACGCACCAGCCTCAAGAGGATGGGAGTTCACAAAGAAACACACTCCAAAGATTCTGAGAAAATATTCTAGAAGTTAGTATAGTAAAAGTATAGTAGGCTATAGTTAGCCGAGTCACTGATTAAGATGAAAAGATCTTTTATTGGTCCCACAGAGGGGAAAGGTCAGTGTATCACAAGTTACAGAACAGAAGACAAGTGAATATTGAGAGTAGCACAACCCTATAATTTAAAATACAAATATAATTTCTATCTTTAACTTAATGAAGAAGTTTCCTTTAGTGCAGGAAAGTATGTAATTTGAGAAATAAGACAATAATAAGAAAACTGTATTTTAATAATAATAATGCATTAGTTTTATGTAATGGATCTTATCCCGACTGTAGCACCTGCTGTTCACAGGTCTCCCACAACAGTACTGTCCAAGCCATACCCTGCTTAGCTTCAGGGGTCTGCCAGTATCAGGATATCACATGCCAGTATAGCCTTGATACAATTAACCAGTTCTAATATCAACAGTTCTGGTCTGGATCCAGACCGAGGCCCGAACTTAGTTTTTTTCTCAGGATTAATTTCAAACACATAGATATATGATTCTAGACATTATACATCGTGGTAGAGAAGGAGCCTGACAGGGATCTTATAACCTCAAGGGCCTGAAAGAACTGTCCAAAGGGCTGCATCTGGACCACAGAGTTTACCAACCTCTGACAGACTGTAAAGACCAGGATATAGAGTTTGTGAATTAAAATGCATTTTAAAAAAGCCATAAAAGGGATCGTAAACAAAACCAAACCAAAACCTTAAGCAGATACTTTTAGAGAGACTTTTTTTTACCAAAGACCTGAATGTTTGTGTTTTAAACAACAACTTAGTCATGCGTTCTGCTAAATTAGAAAGCGTCAGTCTTGAATCTCTTCCCTGATATCGCTGGACTTCCCCGTTTGTCAAAGCTTTGCCCAAATCTCCCTGACACTTCACAAATTACAGCCTACAGGCCTAATATTTACAGAGTGCAGCCTGCCACCCCTCCCTCGGCCGCTCACATTCAATCTATGAAGAAGTATATTTTTAGTCCGCCTCCACTGCTGGCACCAAGAAAAGGAAATCAATTGGAGAGGAGAGGTGAAAACTGGAAGCAAACACGTAAATTTCAAGTCAGTTTTCTGAGTAGCGAGGCTGGAAACCAAAACAAATCAAACACACAAAGAGCTGATTCTGCGGAGGATAAGAGAGTGTTACAGCTGCAGCAACAGGAGGCTCCGAGGACTCGCTGCAAGTTCACTGTGACCTGGAGACCACTGCCTGCATTTAGTTTAAGGCTTGTAAAGTATCCAAACATGGTAATAAAGTAAGTGTATTTTCCCTGTCTAAAGTCTAATTCTTACTTCTCCATAAAGCATTGTTTTTGACTGCACGAGCGGCTCACGGTGATGTGGGCTGTGATTGGTCCAGGAGAGAGGAGTTGAAGGAGGATGCTTGTCAGATATATTTCCCAATTTAAGGCCAAAATGACAATGGTTAAAATACAGTTGGACTCAAGAACAGTTCATAGATTATCTCCAAGTCCTGGCCCAAACCAATCTGCTGTCACTTTATAATCTCATACCATACACTTAATGTCTATGAGTGACTTATGTATTAGAAATGGGGTTTTTTTCACGCATACTTTTATCTATTTTTTGTTTTTTTTACTTTTTCTAATTGGAATTTGCAGCACAACTCGGATTGGAAAACTGTTTTAACTGGATTCAGGCTGCTGCGAGCTTTAAAATGAGTCATAAAAACCTATGTTTACCATTCCACCAGCTTTATTATTACTATAGATAGAATTTTGTGTCTCCTCAACATAAAATAAAACTAGTTAAGGAGTTAAAATACCTGGGTGTTATTTTGAACTCTAAGGTAATTTTTGATGGGCATGTTAAAAAAAATGATGAAGACCATAAAAGTGAAAATAAATTGTTTTAGGTTGATCAGACCCTGCTCATCAGATCAAGCTGCACGAGTTTACATGCTATGATTTTTATCTCACATATTGCAAATGTGTTCTCGACACAACTGAAAAAGTGGCTTAAGGAAAATCAGAAGTGTGAGCACAAAAACTGGATGTAGAATGGACACATGGGGCCAGTTATTATTTTTGTGTTGTTTTCTCCCCTCTTTTTTTAACTTGTTTCTTCACTGTTCTCCAGAAGCCTAACCAGGGACGGGGGCTGAAAATCAGACTTTAGCTAGAAGCCCAGTGTACTTAACATTGGTTTCCTTTGGGTGACAATGTGTTTTGTACTGTCCCTGTCAACTAAATACATTTAAAAAAAAAAAAAAAAAAAAAAAAAAAAATATATATATATATATATATATATATATATATATATACACAAATGGCTGGATTCTAGAGGTTTACGACAGGCTACAAACATGTCTATATTAACTGAGCTGAAGTCGAGGTTAGCTATAGACAGATGGCTTTTATTTATTCATTGTTTATTTGTTTCAGGCAAACACAGGAGCATCACAGTTGCTATTAGTATAAAAAAACATACCTGGAACAACATTTAAAAAAAGAAAAACTATTTGAGGGAAAGGGAGTGGGACGAAGAGAACTTATTCAATCCCACCCCATCTTCCATTTCCACATTAGCTTCTCTGCTACTGCTAACTTAGACATTTCAGTTCGGACATCCCTGCTCCAGTGAAGTAGAAAACAACAGTTGACAACGTGAAAGAATGAGCAAGAAGACTCCGGTTGCTTCATGCAGCTGCTCCTCTTCTTTGCCTGATCATGACCCTTTTTGACAAACCAGATATTTTAACAATGAACTTAATATGTGCCAAAAGAAACAGGAAGAGAGTGGCAACGAAAATATTATTGTGAAAATGTGCCGCGATGTTTTGTGACCTCTTTTGAATACAAGTCATCAGGACCATATTACTCAACGCTCTCCCTTTCCTGTGAACTCTTATTCACGTTTAAAGCTTGCTGTGTGATGTTGCATTTCTTAATCATGAAGCCTCCTCCGCTGCATCCCTCCTCCCCACGGACTGCACTGTTTTCTATCAGAAGAAAAAGCCACGTCCGCAAAACATATCATTCTATAGTTTCTCTGGTGAAAGATTTGTACCGTGCTTCTCTCATGGGGATGTCTCCAGTCTATCTGTTCTATAGAATCAAACTCAAAATACATTCGTTTTTGTACGGCCCTAAATCACAACAGTGGCCATCTCGGAGGATTTACAAAGCCGTCGATTCTCCAACACAGATCAGAGAATCAAACAGTTCAAACACAAGAAATGCAACAATAAAAAAAACATAGAGCCTGTGGTCCATAAGAGGCATAGCCCAATGTCCATAAAGGTTGATAAAGTGCGGCACGGTGACTGAGTGGATAGCACTCTCGCTTCTCAGGTTCGAATCCCAGTCGGATCAGGGCCTTTCTGAGTGGAGTTTACATGTTTTCCCTGTATCTGCGTAGGTTTCCTCCGGGTGCTCCGGTTTCCCCTACCACTAAAATCATGTACAATAGGTCTGGCATGTGTCTCCTGTACTGGCCCCGGTCCCTTCTCTGTGTGGACTGAGAGACTAATGCCCACAATTGTAAACCGCTTTGTGACTCTGGTCTGTGAAAGGCTCTGTATAAATAAAAAAATAAAGATAAAGTCCATACATGTCGTGGAATGTCGAGTGTCCTGGATCATCATTACGTATATCTTGTATTCATTCAATGACGTACTGTTGACTAAAATTGTAAAAAAAAAAAAATTGTACTGAATCGTATTGTGTTTCTCCATAACAACAAAATGTAACTTCTATGTCTTATAATCCAACTGTTTTTGTTTGCCAAAGTACAACTTGCTGATATTACACATATAACTTAGTGAGAAACGTACAAACTGTGTGTTAAGCATGACTTATTTTTGTATCTGCTTTTGATTAAACAATATGTGTATCTAGCACACAGGAAACCCAAATGAGAGCATCATTCTGCTCTCTGATTGGATAATCTGCTTGAAAAGGCCAAAATGACAATGGACATAATCTGCATCCTATAAATGTAAATAAACTTTAGTTGTGTTCATTTGACCTACTCTCTAGAGACTTATATAAAAGATGTAGATGTAATTCAAATATATATACTTTGCAAGATAAATAAGTCATACAATGAAAATTGCGAGGCTGTTTTTTCATAAATAATACATTTTGTTTTGTAAAAGACTTATGACAGAAACATGTTATCTTTTGGAAACCTATAAGACCAATAAGTCACTATTTGGCACTTTGGGCTGAGAGCTGATTGGCTGAGAGAGTCTGGTCTTCTCTTTTCCCCTAAAAAATCTGATCTAAAGATGTGACAGAGGCCAAACTGTGAAGAACTATAGTTAACATTTATTACACAGTTAAGTTTTGTGGTTTTAAAGTTAGGTACCCCAGTGGATGACAGGCCTAAAACTGTTTTAGTGTATCTTCACCGAGACGTTTTTCTACTTAAAGAGGATTTATCCAGCAGATACAAAGCACACAAGACAGAGTGATCCAACTGCAAATGAGAACGGCTCAGTGGCGTTTTAATCAGTCCATCTCCATAAGCCTGACACGTACGTCCTCCAGCGTCCCCCTCGGCTCCTCTTACATCCTGCTCTGTGAAATGCAGGCGACAGATTGAGACGGGAGTTTGTTGTGCCTCTGTCGCGCTCCCAACAAATGCTCCACGCTCCACATTCCTCCCATTCAAGCCCAGAGAGGGACACCAGGGCTGGGCTGTGTGGGGCGGATGCTGTCCACTTCTATTTAATGGTAAATTTTGTGCCAGGGTTCAAGAGCAAAGACCACATCAGAACAGAAACCAGAGATGGGTAAAAAAAAAACTAACACTATAGGTTTAACAAAAGGCTGAGTTTTCATAAGGTGGGAGTCTACAATGGTTTACTTCTTTCCCACTCTATTTAAAGCTGAAATACATTTGTAAATATATATTGAAACTGTAAATATACCGACAACACATGGTGAAACTATGAAAATCAGAATGTATTATTATTATTGCCATTGTGAGTAACAGGAAGTCACAAACCAGGAAATTGCTTTGCCTTTTGGTGCAAACAAGTTATAAAAGTAAGGATAGAATAAGGCAAGTATAATAATAAAAAGTCTACAAAACATTTCTTAAAATCACTACCATATACAAGTGCGCTAAATAACACATACTGTTTTATGATTGTATATTTATGTATGTATATATATATTTGCATGTGTAAGTAGATACCGTAAGTGCACTCTGCAACAAAATCCAAAAGTTCTCCATAAACTAAGGAATGTAAATGTTGTAAATACTTATGAACGAATAATTGCAGCTCGAATGAATGAAATCAACCAATCAATCAGCTGTGTGCAAATTACTCCCTAATCCCTCAGGCTCTTCACTAAAACTGGATTTCTGATGTAAATATGTGCTTAATTTGGACTGCCATTCAAGTAGTGTTGATAGGTCTACTCAATACTCACTTCGATACCACAGCAATTATTTATAGACAATAAACTGTAATAGGGATCTCAAAGGATCTCAAGGATGTGTACAAGTCTTTGAGGTATATAGTTTAAAATGTGAAGGAGAAGCTACTGAAAGAGGCGGTAAAACACATTAGCCACATACAAGCTAGACTTATGACAAAAGAGACTATTGGAACGCCCTCTACTCAGCTCTTCCTTTTAAATCACTTCTTATTCAGGTTTGGATCTACTTTAAGCTCGTATCCCCTCCACATTCTGGCACCCCAATATGCCTTTGATTTACTGGGACCTTTTGAACTTGTGTTGTTATGATCCTTGTAAATGGAACGATCTTGATATCAAACTCCTAGACTGAGCTTCAGGAGTAAACTAGAGACTCATTGAAACCGCTGTAGTCGATCGATTTACTGTTTTGTCCGTTTTTTACTTTTTACCTGTGCACACTGGGGACTTTTGCAAATGTATTCCAATGTGGTTTTACTGCAAATGAATTTGAATCATTTTTTTTTCTTTAGACTCTTAGAAACGTCTCTAATTCTTGAATGTCGTGTTATGTTTTTTCTTTGTTAAGCACGTTGAGTTACAGTATGAAGTGAGCTATAGACATAAAATTCCTTTCCTTTTCCTAAACCGTGACAAACCATGAACTGAAACCAAACTAAAGTAGGTTAAAACTATGACTAATCATGGGCTGTTTTGTGGTAAATGTATTAAAAACCCATGAAACCAAATGTCTTGCACGTACTGTATATGTATGTAGCAAAATTGATGAGGTATTTTTCACATGATTTCTTTACAATATGCTTTAAAGCCATAAAACAACTTTGCGGCGGTCCCAAGAAAACATGGCTGACTTTCCGTGTAACATTCCAATGAGTTAAACAGGCTTTTTGAGAGATTCCCACAAAATGGCTGCAGTGTTTTTGGTGTGAGGGGGACAGAGAATGGTCCCCCTGTTCGCTGGGCTGATGGACACGACCCAGGACCAAGACTGGAACCAATTTAGAGCCTCCGAAAAGCGCCGGCAAATGTAAATAAAGCACTAGAGCAAACACATGGTTTTTTCCAAGAGGCGTTCACAAACACGGGGCTGGAGTACACGGCTGTGAGGGGATCTAACGCAGCCAGAATACATGGAAAACAGACACCAAAAGTACTGTAATGTCAAATGTTTACAACGCAAAGAGGCAAAAGCTACAGTAGCAGAGGGTAGAAAAGAAACAACTTCTGACAACTTCAACGCAGATATCACCTCAAGTCGCTTTGGAAGGTGTTCTGACTTCTGTTGGTTTGGAGTAGGGATGTAAAAATCTATGAATTTTCATGACCGACCACCGAGCCTCATTAACCGGTTGAAACCGGTTAACCGCGTAGTTTAAAATAGTCCACGTTCTTTGAAATAACAGCCATTTCGAGCCGCGTACTTTTCATAAGTGCAGCTCTGCGTTCTACTGGATCAGAGCCGAGACAGCGGCGCCCAAACCCGCAACAGCTCCGGCACCTTTGCGCACAGAGAACTGCTTTTTTGAATCTTCCCATTCTGCTGTGCTGCGGGTTAATACCAAAACTTTCTAGCAGCAAACGACGGCTCGTTCACATGGTCAGAGCAGCGAGTGACGAGCCGCGTCTCACAGGTCTTCACAAAAGTTTAAATACAAGTGATGTGTGTGGAGCTGATCCCGAGGACCATAAACACAAACATGTTCCATGTGGTTTGACTGGAGCCGCGTATTTGCGCGAATCCTTTGGGCTCCGTGACACAGAGGAGCGCGACAGACCGGTATGTGTGTGTGTATGTGTGTGTGTGTGTATGTGTGTGTGTGTATGTGTGTGTGTATGTATGTGTGTGTGTATGTATATGTGTGTGTGTGTAAATGTAAGCTCCAATGTAGTTCTGAGCCGCGCCAGTGTGCAACTTTGACGGTAACAGAGGGGAGAGATGATGCGTGTGGATGTTACGTATGGAGAGGGGGAAAGTGTGTGTCTGTGTGTGTGTGTGTGTGCGCGCGTGCGTGTGTGCATATGTGGCTCGTGCGGCGTGAGAGTCGTCCCGGAGTTTATAATACATGGGCGCACACAGCTAGATACAGACCCGCTCGTCACACCGTGCAAATAGGGCTTAAAATAGCGTTATTAAGAGACCTCCCCTCGCCCCTTTTTCTCTTTTTTAACCGACAGCTTTGACCGGTTAACGCTGTGACGGTCAACCACCGGTTAAATCCCTAGTTTGGAGCACTGGCCCTTTAAGAAAAGTCGCTCAATAATGCCCCTTCTGGTCATGTGTATTAGCGCACTTCAATGATAGCTTAAACGAGCAGTATGTAAAAAATCTGGCCAAAAGTGGTACTGCACTCTCTCTGACTCAGGTTGCCAGATATGCAGACAAATCCAGCTGGCACCAAAATAGCTGTTTAGATGAGAGATTTGTCAGCAACAATTTAGTACTGCAGCCACATGGTAGTTTACTTAACTTTTCTTGGAACCCGGATCACAGACTTTCTGATTGGTAAAACCGTGGAGGGCGGGACATGGAAATGAAAACAATAACAAGATTTTGAACTACTGTTATCCGTTAAAAAGAGCATGTTTTATTAATGCCTTTTAACAGATTAGGGCCATTTAATGATGACTGGGCATGAAAATCTTACATGATGCTGTTTTAATGTCTGCTGAGAAAGAAATGAAAAATAACTATTTACAGTTCAGTGCTTGTTTAGTAGAACTTAAGCTATAGCGTTTTTTTATTTTACATTTGTACTCACGGACACGGTTTTGTTGTTTCAGTTTCACACCTGCCATTTAAAGGAAAGGTCAAACCCATCCTGGCGTCAGTGATTTATTGTGTGGAGGTCTTTAACTCCTGGATAGTACAAAGGGGTTCTACGAGGCCAGTGCAGAAGTGGTTTCGCATGTTTAGTGTCATTAGTCCAGCACTAATAACACATTTTTATGATGGATGATTGACTTTTTGCAGTCGATCATAATCCACAATCTCTACTCTCCTTTGCTCCTCCACTCTTCTCCCCTCGTTAAGGCTGTAAAAAATCTTCTTTAGATCAGGAGAGTCAAACTGGTCCAGAAAGGTTTTAAATCCAACCAAGCAGGAGCACACCAGACTCCACTCACTTCCTTGAGGCTTCAGCTTCAGACTGGACTCACTTGAGGCCCTTTGAGAACTGTCTTGTGACCCCTGTTGTAGACACAAGAAAATGCATCCAACTTTAACAACTTGAAGAACTTTTTGCAACTTTGTATCTGTGTGTATGTATATGTGTCGTTTTTACTCGAAAAAAGCTCGTCTCGAATTAGAAAGAACAGCGGCTTGAGGACTCACTTCATCAAACTTAATTTTGTTGATTCTATTGTACTTTAGAGGAGGATCAGTGAGGGGAAGGTGCTCTGGGAATTGGGTACAGCTCTGACTGCCATCCCCCTGACCCAGAAATGGATTAAGGGGAAGAAAATAGATGGATATTGCACTTTACCGTCAATGACAGCACGTCTATTCTATTCTATAATAACTCGCTGCCAAAGAGATATTGTGGTTTAAAATGCAGTTTTGTACGATGACAATTATTGAATCAAAAGGAAAGAACAAAAGAAAAAATGAAAACAAAGAAAAGATAAATGCAGGTCTAATATTTGACATACTTAATAGTTTTTCTCAGTTTACATTAGTAGCCAGAACCAATACCTTATGGCTCACTGGGATGAACTGATAACTGAATACTTTTGTAAGGCCCTTCACGTCTTCACTTTTAATAATTTACAACAACTCTGGCCTAAAAGTCTGATTGTAAATATAAATTAATCCAGAAATAACAATGGCGGTGTGATGAGAGAATTCAAGCACTGGCATTATCAGCATTTTTATAGATAGATAGATAGACCTTTATTGTCCCGTTGAGGGAAATTCATTTTCACAGGCACTGTCACATACAGGTTACAATAGACACAAGAGACACCGAAGGGAGGGAAACACATACAACGCAGGAACAAGGGCAACATTACAGACTGTTTAGAGCTGCTATCGCTGAAGGGACAAAACTTTTACTAAATCTTGCCCTCTTCCATCTTAGAGTTCTGTATCTGCGTCCTGAGGGCAGCAGAGTGAAGTGGGTGTGGAGGGGATGGTCTGGGTCAGTGCTTACTGTCCGGGCCATGCGTGTTACTGCTGTGAGGTTGAGCTGAGAGAGGTCTGCGGTGGGGAGACTGATGATTTTGGATGCTGTGTGTGTGACTTTAGTGAGTTTGTTTCTGTTGGTGATGGAGAGCATGTTAAAGTAACAGGGGGAGCAGTAGAGGAGAATAGGTTGAATGATTGAAGAGTAGAGTTTCAGAAGCAGATTTGGAGAGACAGAGAGGGCACGGAGCTTACGAAGGATGTAGAGTCTTTGTTGGGAACGTTTATGGATATCTGTGACATGTTGTTCAAAGGTGAGTTTATTGTCGAGTGTGAGTCCAAGGTATTTGAAGTGATTAACCCGTTCTATTGTTTTGTTGTGTATGAGAGTGGGAGGCAAGTCTGGGGTGTGTGAATGAGAGTGGAAAATTAGTTCCTTGGTTTTGTCCGTGTTCAGTTCCAGAGAGTTTTCAGAACACCACTCTGTGAAGTGGGAGATGGACTGATGGTAGGCAGTGATGGAATTATTATCTGTCAAGAGGGCCAGAATGGCAGTGTCATCAGAATATTTGAAGTATGTGGTGGTTGGAAATGGGCTGATGCAGTCGTTTGTATAGAGGGTGTACAGGAATGGACTTAATACACACCCCTGGGGGGCGCCAGTGTTGGTGACGATGGTGGATGATGTCACTGAGTCAACTCTGACGGCCTGTGGTCTATTGCTGAGGAAGTTATGAGTCCAGCGAATGAGGAACGGGGGCAGGTTGAGGAGTTGGAATTTCCTGATTATTTGAGGGCGCTGAATTGTGTTGAATGCTGAGCTGAAGTCAATAAACAGGATGGATGCAGACGTACCAGGTAGTTCCAGATGTTGAAGGAGGGGGTGGAGGAGACATGAAACAGCATCCTCTGTTCCTCGTCTGGCTCTGTAAGCGAACTGGTGGGGGTCCAGCAGGGGTCTGACTGTCGGGAGGATGGAGTGAAGTATGAGTCGTTCTAAGCATTTCATTATGATGGAGGTAAGTGCAATGGGTCTGTAGTGGTTTGGCTCGGATGGTCTGGGCTTCTTGGGAACCGGGATGATTGTGGAAGTTTTCCAAGCTGTGGGAATGTGTGCCAGCCTTAAGGAGTCCCAGAAGATTGAGTGAAGGACTGGTGACAATTCCATGGCACACAACTTCAGCACCTTGGCCGGGATACCGTCAGGGCCTGGTGCCTTGCCCATCTTGCACCTGCTAAGTTGTAGGTGTACATCCCCCTCCGTAAATGGGGGCTGTGATGGGGAGTCCAGGGGCAGGGCACTGAGCAGCTCTTCACAGACGGCAGAGCGGTCGACTGAGTCAAAACGGGTGTAAAAATCGTTCAATGAGTTTGCAAAGATGGTGGGGTCTGTTGTTACATGGTGACTGGAACTTGGGGTATGACCGGTGAGGAGCTTAATTTTCTGGTATGCTTTAATATCATTTTTAATCTGTCTGTTGAGTGTATTGACAGTGCTCCAGTCATTTAAATGAAAGGCTGCCTGCCTTTCATTCATACTGTTTTTAATGTGAGAAGTAATCCAGGGCTTTGAGTTGGGATATTTCTTAAACGTTTTGGTAGGTATTGTAGATAAAATACAAAACTTAATATAGTCAGTGATTACTGAGACCTTGTTATCCAGGTCCCCTTGAAATACATCCCAATCAGTGCACGCCAGGCATCCCTGAAGCTGCGCAATTGCATCCTCCGACCACACGCTGGCACTGTGGATGGTTGGCTTAGCGCGTTTCAGCCCCGTCAGGTAGTGCGGGATCAAAACAACATTGTGGTCGGAGAAGCCGAGTGGTGCGTGCGCCCGAGCTACAAACGCATCAGAAATGTTCCCGTAACACAGATCCAGCGTGTTTTGCTTCCTCGTGGGAATATCCACATACTGGTGCAGTGATGGCATGACAGCGTCGAGTCTACAGTTGTTAAAATCACCCACAATAAAGATAAAGATATAGTTTTTCTTCTGTCAGTTACATTTGCAACAAGAGCAACATGGTGGGTTTTCCTTCCGATATCATTCGTCTCACACCGTAGACCAAACGTATCCCGGGCCAACGCTGAGAAAAGCCCCCCAAAATGAAAGCAGTCTTCTTCCTGCCGCTGAGCCGGGTTTAAGGCTTCATCCCGAGGAGGATTTGGGACAGATCCTCAGAGGAAGAACCAACACCGGGTCCAGCTCCCTGCAGTCCGAGGCCGAGGGAATCGACATACGATACACGCGGAACCTAAGCCTTCTCTTTACTGTACTTTTTAAAGTTTTAGTTCAGAGCTGGGCAAGAAAGTTGACACCGGACTTAACTGTAAGCAAAAACATGCAGCCGGTCGGTTTACATGGACAGACCTCTCTTGCTCCAGGCGTGGGTGGCTGTTATACGTTGCTGCTAAAAAATTTTGGAGATGTATTTTGTAATGATAATTGCCATAAGTAACCAAGGCATCACAGATAAGCAAAATCTCATGTATGATCACATTCATTCATGCTGGAGCAACCTCACCACAAGACTTCATTTCATTTTCAGTCTGCATGTACATATAGAAATGCAAAGTTGTGGAACTCATTACCCACTGAATTTAAAACCATGACCATGTTTAAAATGTTCACTTCTCGAGTTAAGTCCTGGCTGAACTCAAAACAGGATTGTACCCATTAATAGACAATATTGAAAATGTTAATGTAGTGTGGAAAGACCCGACCAGGGACTGGAGTTGAAAATTAGCAATAGCCATAAACTCTTTTTGCATTGCGTCAGTTACAAGCTTGCTTTGTTCTATGTTGACTTGCAATGTCCCTGTCAAACAAATGAATAAAATAAACATAACACTGGCCACACCTTATTAGCTTTCTGCAGAGTAGATAACATCAAAACACTGGTGTGGATTTTCCGTGCACAGCCCTAAATAGCATTGCTTATTTCCCCCACGTTTGACCATGATATTGCAAACTAGGTTGCCCCTTGTGATAAATCAAAAGCCTTTGAAACACAAAAACATAAAAAATAGTGTAACACAGTGTGTAACTCACTGAACAGCTAATTCAGTGCTAATTAGTGTATCCTAACCCTATCTGTAAGCCCTAACCCTACCCCTTACCCTAACCCTATCTGTAGCCCTGACCCCAAGCCTTACCCTAACAATAACACTAACACTAACCCACATGGGAAAAAATAAATTGGCAGTTAGTTAGATGTTGAATAAGGCCATGGAGAAAAAGCACTAATAAGGGATTAATACATATCAATTAAGAGCTAATCAACCATCCGTTATAAAGCTGTTCATTATTGAGGGCTAAGCTAAAGTGTGACCAAGACGTCTCGCAAAAAGGTAGAATAAATAATGATACAATAAGTCTGGGGTGTCAAATCGGTCCTCAAAGGGTGGAGTGGCGACAGGTTTTAGTTCCAACCCGAGCAGGAGCACAACCATAGACTATATATATTAACGGACGTAGTCACGCCTATCTCCGCCGTTCAGACAAATGGGCCAAAAATGTGCTCTACTGGAGCTATCCAAAATGGCCGCGAGTGGTCCCGCCCACAAGAAAATTGTGAAAAAACGCATCTGCGCATGCGTCAGCCGGCGCAGCTCCATTCATTTGAACGAGAGACTTCAAAAATTCACAGCAAGTAAACTAGAGTGGACCAAAAAAATCCACCCCCCTCAGCATTGACACACATGTGGAACGGAGCTTTGGGCCAAGAGCCAACTTTTGGTCCATCCTGTAAAGACTTTTTCGCGAGGTAAGAAGATGCTCTATGTTAGCATTGGCTAATTCTCATTCCGGGTCCACCCCCATCGGCCCGGGGTGGTATTGCAGCATGTCAGCGCACATCATTTTGGCCACTTTTGAGCCGGGACCCGCCCCCACTGAGCACAACAGAGTTCAGAAACAACTCCTGTGAACGTTGGTTAATCGTTTTGTCTTCAGGGATTGTTTGATTTTCTAATCTGCTATTGGTAAATCAAATATTTTTGGGAATCCCTGCTGCTTTGATTTAAATTCGGCCATTTCGGGATTTCCTAGTTTGACTTGTGAGCTGCAATGGGTTTTGGTGCCGGTTTGGGGCAGCTAATACATTTTTTACATTGCATTTTTATTTAAATATAAAAGCAGCAGTGATAACTTGACTGTGGCCATGATATTGTGTATACAGGTCATAATCATTTAGCCTAGTTTCATATCTGTCTGTCACTCCTGAGTGCGCAGAAATAAAAAGAATCTATTTTGCGTTTAATCAATTACAAAAATGACTAAACCAACACACAAACATAAAATACACTTTAACAGATCTTTCTTTTATGTAACGCGGTTCACAGACCAGGGTCAAAGAAAGTACAAAAAACAACTGTCACATATTTCCACGTCAGGTTTCCCGTCAGAGACTTAACTTTACGTTCAGGAAGGAGTCAGAACAAATATGGACTTACAATAACAGCAATTCTTTTGAGTCTGTTCATAAACTTCAAGAAAGATATCTATGTTAAGTTTCATAAATGAGGCTCCTGACCTGTAATCTGTGTCAAGTACCACCTGCTTGTTATGTTTATGGCCACGTGGAGCATTCCAGCCGCAGCAGAGTTGACCTGGACCAAACATGATAAATGCCATAACAGGTAAAGCACTTTGTAATAGTCGTATAATTCATCAAAACAAACAGGCTAAGTTTGCATCAGAGACAAACATGAGAAAGTGTAGAAATCCTGGTCTTTCCTGTCGTGAGCGTGTGGTGCAGTGAGAGCCGGGCGTGTTGACACAGATGGAGATGGGCTCGAGTATTTTCATGAGGGGCGTGAAAGGAGGTGTGCGACGGGACCGGACCGGGTTTACACTGTGTTTATGAGCTGAGGCCGATGACGTTACACAAATGTTCAGTCAAAACACTTCATCAGCCACAGACACGACGGACGTTTAAATGGACTCTCGCCTCACGCCGCACATGTGGGCTCTGCGTGTGGAACGGGATTACAGGCCAGAGGGGTGGAGGAACTTTCATTTGGAGAAACTCTATTGAAATGAATTATTTTTGTACAGGCCTGAATCACAACAGCAGTCGTCTCAGGGGACTTTACAACATTGTTCACCGACAACAGATCAGAGAAACACAATAATGACAAACATAGGAGTCATTGGTCTATAAGGGGTCTTCAACCTGTTGCTCGACACCCTCTTCCAGGTAGCTCCCCAAAAGATTTAAAAATGGACAAATCAAAAATTATAATTAGTATTTTAGATGCATTTTATGTGCCCTAGCAACAAATATGCAATGATAAATAATTAATGTACCCAATATCGCGCTTGTTCACACCAATATATCACCACATTTTCCCAGGGCCGCTTAAAGGAGTAGCTCTCTGCCTATATTGTCACGGAAAAGTAGCTCTCTGGGTGAAAAAGGTAGAAGTAGGTCTATGGGGAGTGGGATGAGCAATGTCCGTAAGTGTTAAAAAGTGTCCCTAAATGTCCTGATCATCACTGTCCTTAGACCCTTCTCTGCATCTGTAAGGAACGACAACAAACCACTGGAAAAAGGTGCTATACCTTGAGGAGGCCCACATTAACAGAAGGATCCAATCCCATGAACAGACAGGCTAAAGATCCAGGACTCGGGCTGCAGGATAAGGACTAACAGCCCACGGCAGAGGCCCGGGGGGTCCAGAATTACCTTCTGATCAACTTTTACAAAAATACCATAATAACATATTTGGCTTTATCTTACGTTGAAACTTAAAACAATAGATATGAGGCACATATGATGTATTTGTGTTCATAGGACTTGTTCTTTATCTCTGGTCAGAGTGTAAACATATGGTGTGCACATGTAATCCCTGTGTGTAACAGACTCCAGGCCAAATATGTGAAGTGCTAAACAGAGCCTTCAGAGACTCACACTTTTTGTTGACTGATTTTAACAATGTGTTTGTCGGCTTTATGGAGGAATGGAGACCAACCTGGCCAACGCTATTAAGAAATTCTACTTAAATACAATTCTGTCTTTCTTTCTTCTTCTCCCCTGTTCACACAAAACTACCACATCGACATTACACACTGATCCTGAACTAAAAATATAAAAACCAAGCGTTGAGCAGGGTTGCCTCTCCGTAGATAAAACCTGTATTTTAGCTTTTCCAAACAGATATAGATTCTTTGAAATTGTATTCACACACTGTCTTACTCTTGTTGTTATGGAGCCAATTATCACCCTGATTGGTAAATTGCCGTGAAATTTAATGAATGTGGATATAAACTACCAAAGGGATAGCGAACGTTTTGCTGTATATATTTGGTGGTTACTGCAAGGCCTAACAGGTGGCTGAGTGGCTAGCATTCTCCCTTCTCAGCAAGAAGATCCTGGGTTCGAATCCCGGTCGGACCAGGGCCTTTCTGAGTGGAGTTTGCATGTTCTCCCTGTGTCTGCGTAGGTTTCCTCAGGGCGCTCCGGTTTCCCCTACCACTAAAAAGATGAACAATAGGTCTGACATGCGCCTCCTGTACTGGCCCCGCTCTCATCTCTGTGTTGGAGTGGGAGACAAACGGCCACAATTGTAAAGCGCTTTGTGACTCTGGCCCATTGAAAGGCGCTGTATAAATAAAGATAACTTATACATAACAAGAGAAATTGTGTAAGTTTTTCAGCTGTAACTTCAATTCCCAACAGTTTTTCCTTGGATAATTCCCTCAGCTGGAATCACTCCTTGGGGATGGATAAAGTAAAGTTAAAATGCCCTAATATTTATGGGCCTGATCCCATAAATATTAGGGCATTTTAACTTTACTTTAATTCAAACCCAAACAAGCAGCGCAATAGGGCGGACATCGAAAATATGACGCCCCCCACGGTCCGGCATTCCCTGGCTGTTTCTCTGCACACATCTGCCTCTGGAAAAACTGGGCTCGGTGCTCAC